AAAAGTAGGGTCTGCTAGAACTAGGTGTTTCAACTTATTCTTGAACGCTGCTGATATTCGAGCTTGAGGAAGATCCGAAGTTATCCTATCCAATATAACCACAGGATGGTTCATCACTATGTCTGTACCATTGAGAGAAGAGATATTTACCTTTGAAGCACCTTTGGTACTGATGTGAGAGGAAGAGAGGCCATCTACATCACTATGTCCATTATGCCATCTATTTAAGGACAAGAGATTAGCTGCATTTTCAGTCAAACATGAAATCATAGAGCCCGAGTCTAGTAGAGCTCTTAAAACCAGAGAATGGCCATCTTTATTACTAACATACACAAGGGTAGTGCCTAATAGTACTGTTGAAGACTTGACAACATTACTTTGAGAAAACACAACCACTGGATGTTTTTCCTTATCTGAGGCTGACACTGAGCGATTTGTGTCAACTACATTCCTTTTCACTTGCTGAGATGGAAGGGAGGTTAGCGTACTGGTTGGTGTGGAGCGATTTGATAAATGCAGCCATGAGTGGTGTTTCTTACCGCAATGAAAGCATGAACGTTTTGATTTACAATCATTTGAGCTGTGAGCTGTGCCAAGACAATTGAAACAGAAGTGTTTCTTTTTTATGAACTCAAATTTAGAGGAGGGAGTCATAGCTTGAAAGTCAGTACACCTATAGATCACATGACCACTTTTGTTACAAAAAGCACACCTGGGATTCTGAGGTAACCCGGGGGCAGATAGCAGAACTGTACGAGGCTTATTAGTTACCTTAGAATAATCAGAGTTTGATTTGACATTAGAGTGGGAGGCAGAGGATATCCTTAGACTAGAAAGATTAGCAGCTTCCATATGAGTACATTCATCTTCTAAAAATGACATGATTTCTTCTACTGAGGGGATTTTCTGACTGTCTTCTCTACCATCCTCAATTTTTTTGCGTAGCTCTCCATCTAGCTTACGCAACAACATAGTAGACAAGATTATATTGTTTTTTCTTACCTCATGTTTAAGAGCTTCCAAAGCCCGAGTGTTTTCCTGAAACTTAGATAAAAAGGTTCTGATGGCTTTACTATTACCACTAGTTATGTTAGAGAGGTCAATTAGGTTATTAACATAATGAATGATCATTCTCCTGTTATTTTGATACCTATTTTTTAGCAACTCCCAGGCGACCATGTAATTCTCTGCTGTAATTGGCAGATTTTTAATCAAATTCAATGGTTCCCCTTCAAGAGAGGTAATCAAATACTGGAACTTTTCAGTATCATTTAATTTATCATTTTTGTGAATAGAAGCTTCAAACAAACCTTGAAATGACAACCATTGGTCGGGTAACCCACTAAACGCTTTTAAAGTGAGCGGAGGTAACTTTAGAGTCTTAGAAGGTGAAGTATTTGCATGAGCAGGAGTAGAAGTGGACTCCTTCTGATATGGTTTCACAATCACTTTAATCTGAATAAATAAGTCACTGATATCATCCTGAACTTTCTCTACTGCCTCAGCATCAAAGTCAGGTATAGAATCAGTAGAAGTCAAGCGAGTAAAATATTTATCAAACTCTGAGTACCTGATGCTTGCTTCTTCAGCATATTGCTCCAATTCCTCAAGAGCATCACTCCCTATCTCATCAGATACCAAAGTGGAGACACGATCCTTAATTTTCTTAAGGCGATTCAGAATTAATTTGCTCTGTCGTTCAAAGGTAGTGAACTTCATCTTGCAGGTTACCCTGAATCTTAATTAAGAGATAAAATCCAATTACAAACCAGTAAATAATTCAAATATTTCTAATAAGGAAATTAATATCAAAACAAATACTTTGTAAGCAGAAGAGGAAAAAAGTACAATATAAATAACCCTTTTTTAAAAACAAACCTATAAATCAAAAAATGCTCTGACCTATTCAATATCCAGTAGGCTATATTTCAGTTTCCATCAAAGTGTAGGCTACCCACTACAATACCTATGTACACTTGGATATATTAATCTTTTACTCTCAATAATTAGCGCCAAAAAATCTTTAAACTGAATTATTATTTCAATTTTTAGCAAAAATGGGTGAATAAATCAAATATTGTAGGCTATATGAGTCAAAATATCAAATACAGTATAATATTATAGATATTAAAATCAAAAAAATTTCAAATTTGTACCCAAGACTACAGAGCTTAAACAATTAATTAGCTTAGCTTAGGCTATCTCCAATAGGACTATCTCAATAACACTCTCAAACCTAAAGAAAATTCTGTTTAAAATGAATGAAGTCTCAAAATATCCTTATAGTGCAGAAAATTGATAGTTAAATACCACTTGGGATACGTTGAGTTAGGCCTATGCCTGCTTAAAACATCAACAACAATAATTATAAGTTTCTTTTGTTAAAAAATGAATTAAAAAAATATCAAAGAATCTCAGAGTTCCTTTTTAAACAATAAATTGAGAAAATAATCAATATTTTTCCAGCTCTAGGTTTTTGTTGGTAAAACACTATTTACGTACCAAAATTATTCAAAAGAGCCAAACAAATTATTTCAAAGACAAGTTGAAGATGATTTTCAATAACAAAATTATTTTACAAATTAATTGAGAAATATCAAATTAAGGATATTATTTTCAGTGTATGAGATTCAACAACAAACTATAAATCCTAGAATAAAAACTACAATCCAATCCTTTACACCAACATTCATGAGTGAGGTTATGTTATTGTTTATAACTCGATGACATTGACAAACTGACAGAGTGACGACGACGACAGAGTCAAAATTGCACAGTTGCAGCCATCTTAGATTGCAGACTACACCAGCGCTCGCAACGGCGAAAAATGTTTGTACTGGAGTGAGTGAGAGGGAAGACAGCTGGTTTCCGTTCCAACATGAACAAGAACAATACAAAACAGTCTGGGAATTTCCCCTTATCAGCAACTTGTACAGTCCTGAATGTTTCGTGAATATTCTAGAGTAGTAATTTTCACTTCTACGATCGAAATAAAAATGACCTTTTTAACGATCACACTAAAATGGCTGGCAAACAACTTTCTCGGAAAAATTTGAGAAGTAAAATAATTACTGTTCACTGTAATAAAAACTTATTGAACGTATTTTACACACGATAGCAAAATAAAAATGTCTATTTTTCCAAGCTTTGGTTCAAAATAAAAATATCTTCCGGCACGTAGGACCAAATGTTAAATGTTTGTGAGTAATTTTTAGCAACCGAAGGACCATTTAAAAATACCTGTACAATTATATTGTGAGTAGAGAGTTCCATGCTGAGACGTTGCTGCGAAGTGAGGGCCCTCAATCAGTCTGGTAGTCTTCATGGCGTGGCGGACGAGGTGTTGAGATGATCACAATAATTACACTGAATTTAGAGGAATAAACTATAAAAGAGTAAAAGAGTTAAAAGGAAAATATTAGAGCGTTCAGAGAAAGACGTGGTCACTACCATGTCCAAGGCACATCTAACCCGACGCTGCTCACTATCTAGCCGGTCGGGGGAGGGGAACATCCCGATCAAAGTTCAATTCTACAGGTGAGCGTATTGAAAATGAAAACTCAAAGGATTGGATTGCTTACAATAAAATAAAATCTTTACCTTGATTCTAATAACTCTAGTAAAAACTAAAAAATCTATAATTTGTTTGGTTACAGAAATGTAAAATAAAATACCCTGCAATGTGCAAATAAAAACCTTTTAAACCTTACATATTGTACTTAAATATCCAACATAGCCTATGTAGTCCATGTTGATAAGATTTTCTATGAACTCAGAATGTCGATAAGGAGCTAATTTTACCTTCCCCTTGTGACAACATAAGGAGAAAATACTTGTGTCGTGTCCCTGTTAGTCTGTTCTGACTCTAAATTCATAGATTTGCAGTAGTAACAAATCCAATCTAACGACCCCAATTCAAAAGAGTTGGTGTTTTTTTAGGAACTTCCAGAGCACATTTAACACCATCACTGTTATTTACTTTTTAGTTCCATGGTTCTCCAGGTTTTTTCGTTCTGGTTGTCTCTTTACGCACAGTTTCCACCTTTTCTTGTTCTTTTTGTACTTTTCACACCCTGGGGATTATGATAAAGTTGTATAACACTGTAATGACCCGAGTCAAATTTGCCTTTAAACATCAAAAACTTCTTTATTAGCATCGTACGTGTTATTATATTACCTGAAAAATACAGAAAATATATATACGTCTAATGACACTTGCAATAATATATTTACACTTATACTGTTGACTTACAAGACGGTAAATACATGTAAAAGTTGGTAAGTGGTGATCGATTTCGATTGGACACTCCAATCATCATCAGACCCAATAGGCGAATGACAAGAATCAAAATGGCGTTCCCTAAGTTTCTATAAGTACAACTTGGTACTTATAAAACTAGGGATTTATAGTAAAATGGCCAATAAGTTTCTATAAGTACAACTGGAGTCAAAATTTACTTGTTCATCAATGAGCTTATTTCTATGTTTACATTTTTCCTTATAAACATACAATTCTTCCCGAGCATTCATCACATTTCCTTTCTTACAATTCTTTAAAATACATACATTGTCTTCAATTTTTCCTAACGAGTGGCCATTTTGTAACAAGTGCTGTGCGACATTTGATCTTTCCGGTTCGTTGTTTCTCCATGCAGATGTGTGGTTTTTGAATCGTTTAATAAAGTGAAATTGTAACGATTGTGATAATGTTTATATTGGACAAACTGTAAACTTTATTATTTACTATTATCTACTATTTATTAGTATTTTCATTTACTTTTGTAAATTTTATTAGTAAAATTAAAGTGAAATCAACAAATATGTTTTTACATCTTTATTTTTTTTAAATTTTTTCCTTATGAGAAGTCGAAACGTTGATAGTCAGACAGTTTAAACTGCCATGTTGCTTGAAAATGCCAGAACAGCAATCAACATGACAGTTTGATTGATTGATATTCTCTAACAACCAATAGGAGCACACAAGTGTGCGCAAATTGGTTAAAACGCCCGACCTAAAATTTAAAACATTTACTAGTGTACAAGTCTTGGAGCCACCAACCAAAATGATTCGTTTGGTTCTAGTTGCTTCTTTCATTTTGATCTTGGTAAATATTACTTTCATATATTTAAGTTTCCTATAGTTAGACAAAGAGAAAAATCTTGTTCATAGTAGATTAAAAGTGAAAAAGGAAAACATTTTACTGTTAATGAAATAGCTTGAGATTAATTGAAATAATTTCTACCTATCCATAATTTTTCTTTTGTCATTGATTTATGTGTACTGAATTAATATTTTTTAAACATTCCATAATCTTGTAGTTTAAATTTTAATACCGATTTAGATAGATTATGGCTTACCTTGCCTAACATCAGATGAAACCTAAGCAGAGTTTTAACCCCGCCAACGGCGACCCTTCTTTCTTTTATATTCTTGGCTATTTCAGGTGTTGTTAAAGTGTTTCAATATAATTTAGCTCTTTAGTTCTTATCTCATCCTCGGAGTGCCAAGCGATATACTGCTTTCTGCAATTTTTGTCTATATTTTAATAATGGAAGTAGTATGCTACCTGCATCCTCAAATTTATGGTCCATACAGTTGTACGGGGTGAATTATTGGATGGTATAATTTATATTAGCATTTATATTGGTAGTTTTGACTAAAGTAGCTTAAGTATGGACCTGTAAAATGTAAACCCCAAACGATTTTTTTTTCAAATTTCATTATCTTCCGTACTGTGGCGTGTCTAATTATTTCACCAAGCTAGTTTAACTCATCATCAAAGTTCAAACTCAAAACTAAAATTTCATCCTGTTTGGAAGACCTTCATGTATTCAGTTTTTTTTCGGTTTTTTTGTCTGACCTTATGTTAGCTTCTAGAAGTGGTTATACAAGAAAGATAAGCAACTTTAGGCATATTTTCCCATATGAATAACATGATGATTATTTTTAGCCACTTCTAAAAAAATCCTGATCTTTGCCTATACATCCCTACACAAATGTCCAACTCCATAAATTATTAAAACCAACTTTTTTGCATCACTCACCTACAAACCCATATAAAATCATATTAACATTTTTTTAGATTTTTAGAATGTTTATGTTGTAATATTGTTTATAATCAAACGTTGATACACACGTAGTATGCCAGAATATTAACTGTTTTGCCGTATCTCAAGCCGTTTTCGAGATATAAGCATTATAAAACAATATTATGGACGAGGTGTGGAAAAATGTAAAAAAAAGTCTGGACTTTGAAAATGTTCGTGGTAACTGTTATTTATTTTGTAGCCTACCCATCTATTCTATATATAATTCAGTTTTAAAAATCTTTGTACAACTAAATCTAGAGTTCTACTGGACCGATTTTATTAATTAATGGGTCGTTGGAAAGCTTAGTTCGTGTAGATTTGCAAATAATTATGAAAGTTTTTTTTATGATTTATGGTGAACAATAAAAAAAAAAACACGTTTTCCATAAGAAATACATTGAAAACGGCGTTTTTCACACTTTTTATTTGGGTGCGATTTTTAGTTGCCATTTTTTTATATTTACAAGAAGTGCGTGGTATCAATTTGTAGGAAATTTTATTCTCTTTCAGAATATCACCCTCCACTTTGGTCGATTTCCTCACCATTTAAAAGTTATTTGCAAAAAAGCTAAGTAACCTCACAATTTATAGTAATGAGAAAATATTGAGTTTTGGATATTTTTGTTAAACTTTGTACAACTCAATCTAGACTTCTACTGGACCGATTTTGTTAACTAGAACTAGATTTTGTTTGGTCATTAGAATGCCTAACTCATGTAGATTTGCAAATAATTATAAAATTGTGGTTTTATTAAATATTTGTGGTGAAAAAGTAAAAATAACAAAAATACATTAAAAACTGTTTTTCAAGTTTCTATTTGTAGACAGCTTTTGGCTGTCTTTATTAAGTATTTTCAATAAATGCATAGAAGTTATTTGTAGTAAATGTTATTCTCATTCAGAATATTACATTCACTTTGGTCGATTTCCCCTCCATTTAAAAGATATTGGCAATAATCTAAGTGATCTCCAAATTTATAGTGGTGAGAAAATACTAATTTGGATATATTTTTGTTAAACTTTGTACAACTAAATCTAGACTTCTACCGGACTGATTTTGTTATTTAATGGGTCGTTGGAAAGCCTAATTTGTGAAGATTTGCAAATAATTATGAAAGTTTGATTTTATTAAATATTTGAGGTTAAAAAAATAAAAATAAAAAATAATAAATTTAAAACTACTTTTTTAAAGTTTATATTTACAGTTGTATATTTGTAGCCAACTTTAGGTTGCCTTTATTGAGTATTTTCAAGAAATACATAATTGTAATTTGTAGGAAATGTTATTCTCTTTCAGAATATCACCATCCACTTTGGTCGATTTTCTCACCATTTCAAAGTTATTTGCAAAAACGTTAAGCAACCTCCAAATTTATAGTAGTGAAAAAAATACTGAATTAAAGATGTTGTTGTTAAGCTTTGTACAATTAAATCTACAGTTCTACTGAACCAATTTAATAATTAATAGGTCATTGGATAGCCTAATTTGTGAAGATTTGCAAATAATTATGAAAGTACTGTTGAGGTTGTAAGCAAGATCGTTTGGCTATAAATCGATGATAAATAACTCAATTTTTTGAACAATTTGTGTTGGTCGTGATTTAGCTGTGTGCTTTAATGAAATGGAAGTTGGTATTTCAATGAAGGTTCTTAGGTCAAAACAAAAAATAGAATAACGTAATTAGAATTAAGTAAATATATCTAAAACTAAATTCCATATCCAAGATGTAATCAAATTTATATTTTCTGATTGAGCGATACAGTATCTTGAACCTAACTGATTAAAACTATCAATATCTCAAGTAAAAGCTTTTGAAGTATTTTAAGACCAAAACATATAAAATAACTTAAATTAAAATAGAGTTACGTATCATTGATTGCAGATAGGTACTGAAACGATTGCAATTATTGTTGATTCGTGTTTCAGCAGTGTGCTTTAGGTAGTCCGATCTTAATAATCAATAGCTCAAATGAAAGCTGGTATTTCACTTAAGGTCTTTAGACCAAAATGTATAATGTAATTAGAACTGCTTGGATACATCTTTAATTGAAGGAAAAAAAATTCTTTTGTCGAGTAATACAATAGATAAATTAATGACGACGCTTGATGACAAATATGTGCTTGCATATCTTTATTTTAAGACCAAAATTATGAAAATTGAGCGGGTAGAAGAGCCCTCCTGTAAACTATCGCCCGCCTACGAAACATTAAACTCGAAAAACCCAAATTTAACTCCGATAAGAAATGTACAGGGAGGCAGTTTGTGCATAACTCGAAATATACGTCAGAATGCCTATGCTTGATGGCAAATCTTCGGTACGTCCATACCTTTAGTTTAAGGCCAAAATTATGAAAATCGGTCGGGTAGAAGAGCTAACTCGACTCGGAAAAGAAAAACCAATTTTTTTATAGATTGTAATAATTGGTTTACCAGTAGGCCATGCATAATCTAATCATACGAAACGTGTGTTAATAATTCAACAGCTTATTGTTATATTGTTATTTAATTAATTTTTCTTTGATTAAATGTTGTTCACATTTTGCATTTGTATTTAAAGTGTGTTCATTATGTTAAGTATGTGATTCTAATGTTATGTGCTTAAACTGTACCATAATATTAGTGAGTAAAGTGGTGTATGGATTTCATAACCATTATTTTACTAGAGACCGTTGTATTTAAAAACCACAACGGGCTCTGTTGCTAGTATTAAAATATTGTTATAAATTTTTCAATTTTAAAATTTTTCATGTTTGTATTATTGTTTATAATCAAAAGTTGTGGTATCATTGTTTACAATCTTTGCACAAATTGTGTGAAATTTATAAAAAATTTGTAAAAATGTGTGTGACGAACGAAGTACACACAAATTTAATCACAGTCATAGTGAAATTTACAATTAGTGTGAAATTGGTGAAAATTATGTGATGTAGTACACACAAATTCACATCACAGTCGCAGGCAGTTGTTGTATTTGACGACATGAATATTCCAAATATTACACAATTTTTTCAATGGGTCGACATAAATATATTTACTGATTTTACTTGTGTCAATCTTGCAGCAAAGTACACAAATATTTACGTGATAATATAAATTTCCTAATATTATCCAAACAGGACGATTTAAATTTTAAAACATAAGTATAACAATCATGTTGGTAATGACGTTACATTTAACTAATTTAGAAATATCTTCCTCTGATGTTGGGATAAAACTAAATATGACTTTTTCATAATAAACAAGGAAGTCCTAAAGAAAAATGGCAAATATAGATTATTGTTTATTCGATTTTATAATGATCAAGAGCAAGAGTATTGAATTGATGCCATCTTCAAGAATAAACCTCTTCTCATCATTTTAAGATAGTACTTTTTTATTCATAGTTAAGGTTTTAAGGTGGTGGTTTGTAGATTTAATTCTTGTGACAGCATCATAGTAATCTTGCCCAGTTGCAAGACAGTTTAAATAATGTTAGTGTCTAATGTTTAACAAAGATCTAATGTTTAAGATCCCTAGTCTACTCCATTCACTTTCTTAACCTCTAAGGCTTACTTGTCTTCTTCTTCTAAAAATTTTAAAGGAATATAAGAATACAACTTTGGCCTTAAACTACAATATTCACACATAATATAACCATCTAATTTGTCTTTAATCTTGCCAATTTTTAAACATTATTTTATATAGATACCATTTATTAAATTAGTTCAACAGTTTCATTATTTGTATGTCAATGCATTGTAATGTAATGTCGGTGTTGGCAAAGGCTACAAACTCCATGCACTGCGGTGTGGCACTGCTTTATTGATTTAGGCCTTAACTGTATCTCGAAAATGGATTGAGATACGGCAAAACTTTTTAAGTTCCGGCACACTACGTGGGTATCAACTTTTAATTATAAACAATATTAAACATAGAAAAAATAAAAGAAAACGAAAAAATGTGTAACATTATTTTATATGGGTATGTAGGTGAGTGATGCAAAAAGGTTGGTTTTAGAACATATATGGGGATTATCTATATATATAATTCTGTAAGACCAAATTTTTACCAGAAAATTGTGGACGTCTGGTAAGTCGCAGAAAAGTGGGAAGGGTCTTAAATTAAAGGTCTTGGCCCAAGGGACTCGGGAAAAATAGCAGAATTCCCATAAAGTTACCAGAAAACGAGATATAACGTAAAATATCCACCATAAGAAATGCATGGGGAATGAAAAACGTCTGTATTCTATCAGCTGTTACTTATTTATTTGCAATGTTTACATTTATTCCGAAAGTCAATGTTGGTAAATAATGTTTCAAAATGAATTGTGTTAAATTTTTTGTTTTCCGTTTTTTTTATTGAGTGGAGTAACTAGACAGGGTAGGGGAAGACCTGCAAGACGTGGAAGAGTGTCCAAAGAAATGCAAACGAGAACGTCATGTAGGGCCTACCTGTGAAAGAAATCCAGAATCTGTTTTACAACCTGTCTTTAGAAGAACGCTGGAAAATGAGTTGAGTGTTCTTTCTCGCAATATAGGTCCTCTTAAAGCACTTGCATGCACTGTGACGCATTTCACTTCGCAGAGGAGGCCACAAATGGACATTTCAACGCATGTTGCCACAATGGACATGCCACAACCACAAGTAAATGACGAACTAAAAGAACTGTTTTTACTTGATTCGAAGTTCATAAAAAACATAAGGCAATACAACAGTGCAATGGCTTTTGCGTCGCTTTCCACTACACAAAATGAGATTTCGGGAAATGGGCCTTACTTTCTTAAAATTCAGGGACAAATTCATAGATATATTTCTGACTTACTACGGCGAACAGGGGAGTTGCCTTCATAATAATTATTAATAATTTTGACCTTTACATGTGGTTCTCCAAATGGAAACTATATCAGAATTCGTAAGATTACAAAACAAATCTTAAATTTTACACTAGAAAAGATGTGCAATGTTTGGCTGTATGATTTCAGCTCTGATTCGTCGTTCTCTGGGCTCAGGTCAAACCGTGTGCACGTTTCCATTTCTTAATATGTTATGTTATTGATTTAATCATTATTTTACAATTGTATTTCATTGACACATCAGAAGCAACTAATATACGACTCCAACGGAAGGAAAACCAAGATATAAAACAAAAAACACTGTTAATTTTAAGTAACATAAAATTGGTAATTTTAAAAATATAGGCCTATTTCGAATATTTGTCATTTTATATATGTTTTTTTTATTGTAGTCTAAATTAGGGGCTATGGCCCCTATAGGCCACTAGTTGGAAATAATTTATGGAGTTGGACATTTGTATAGGGATGTATAGGCAAAGATTCGGATTTTTTAAAGTGGCTAAAAATGATCTCCATGTTATTCTTATGGGGAAAACGCCTAAAGTGGCTTATCTTGCTTGTCCTGCTTCTTTATCAGGATATATGGTCACTAAACCATTTCTGTTCTCTGCAAAAATCACCACATCATCAGCAAACGCAAGAACACTATTTACCCAGTAAATATAGATTTGAATGATTTATTAGTTTTTATTTAGGTACGTAATTGAGATGGACATGCAAACAAAATAAACATGGTAAAATGCACAAATGTGTTGTTTTCTTATTTGTTTTCTCTAGCATTTTTACTGATACCATATTATAACCGTCAGGGTGCTTCAGCATTAGAGAGAGTAGCCCACATCTGGAGAAAAAATATAGGACTTAAATAATGCTAATTTCTTATGATACTGCACACGTGATGCACATCTATTAGAGTCATGGTATGTAATAAATTTACAAAGAGTACAACATTCGTACAGAACCGGTACTTAAACATTTTGTATACTAGAGACATTCTAATTTTTCAGGGTTCCTACGAAGCCAAGAATGCACCAAATTACCTTCCACTCAAGAATGACGAGACACATCCTACCTATCGATCAATTGGTAAGTAACCAAACTATTTTAGACATAACTCTACCATAAAAGAATATTTGAGCATATGATTTTCCTATTAAGAATTTTCATCACTGTGGCCGGAAGAATAGCGCAAGATCATCAGGCATTTACAGTGAATAACATCAAAGGTAGCCAAACACCTAAAGCAAAACCCAACTACAGTATAACGATAACTTTTCTTGATTCCCTCACGATTCTCGACACGACCCATTAAAAACCATTAGCTAAAGTACAATAAAGCTAAAAAATATATATAAACAATATGTTAATTAATCGAACATCTCCTAAAAAAAGAAGATTATACAATCCCTAGTGTCTGCAATCGCCCGCACACCAACAAACACACACACACAACAAATCTTGGATTCAGGGCTACTCAAAACGTATATTTGCACCCAAAACTAAAACTCAAAAATTTCTAAAAAAAACAATACTTTCTCCATATGTAAATGGGGAGAAAGTAAAAATGTGAGGGCTCAGCTCGTGCGGCCTTTATAAAACAACATATATTTAGCGCATGAATTTATCAGTGGAAGTGATATTGATGCCATTAAATTTTATATTGTGTTGTGGTTTCAGAAGGAAAAGCAGAGGAAACTCTTGCTGAAGCTGCGAAAACTGCTGCGCAGGCTACCTTGATGGCAACGTTTGCTACCGCGGTTGCTATACCAAGCCTTGTGGGATGGGTAGGGTACAAAACTCTGCAGTACGGAGCAGGTAAAGCTACAGATTACGCAGTACAAAAAGCTCATGAGGCTGTCCACAACGCAGTCGAAGGTGAAATGCGCAAGGCATTTTCGTAAAAACAAGCAGATGAATTGAATATTGCCTGTTAGTGTGAAAACCCTATGGCATTAAAGTTTGTTTAACCAATTAAATGTACTCATTATTTCAGTCCCTGTATTTATTGCACATCAGTATACAGTATTTTCAGTTGCACATCAGTATTCAGTATTTTCAGTTGCACATCAGTATACAGTATTTTCAGATGCACATCAATATACAGTGTTTTCAGTTGCACATTAGTTTACAGTATTTTCAGATGCACATCAATATACAGTGTTTTCAGTTGCACATTAGTTTACAGTATTTTCAGATGCACATCAATATACAGTGTTTTCAGTTGCACATCAGTATACAGTATTTTCAGATGCACATCAATATACAGTGTTTTCAGTTGCACATTAGTTTAGAGTATTTTCAGATGCACATCAATATACAGTGTTTTCAGTTGCACATTAGTTTACAGTATTTTCAGATGCACCTCAATATACAGTGTTTTCAGTTGCACATTAGTTTACAGTATTTTCAGATGCACATCAATATACAGTGTTTTCAGTTGCATATCAGTATACAGTATTTTCAGATGCACATCAATATACAGTGTTTTCAGTTGCACATTAGTTTACAGTATTTTCAGATGCACATCAATATACAGTGTTTTCAGTTGCACATTAGTTTACAGTATTTTCAGATGCACATCAATATACAGTGTTTTCAGTTGCACATTAGTTTACAGTATTTTCAGATGCACATCAATATACAGTGTTTTCAGTTGCACATTAGTTTACAGTATTTTCAGATGCACATCAATATACAGTGTTTTCAGTTGCACATCAGTATACAGTATTTTCAGATGCACATCAATATACAGTGTTTTCAGTTGCACATTAGTATACAGTATTTTCAGGTGTGCCGCATGGTCTGGATTATGTTAAGAGCTTCCATTGCTTTCCCAACCAACTTGATGTGATTGTGATGATATAACTGGGGCTGACATAGCCTTATCACTCTAATTATATCCTTTCTATGCACTGCGAGTCCCACGCCTTCCCTGAAGTTAAGTTACACTCACTTGGCTATATTTGAAAGGTAAGAGGTAAAAGAGACACAAGACTGCTAAGAACATGAGTGTGGCCCGGCCTATCTTATCTCGCTGAATTTTTTCCACGGACGTTACCCGTGGGTTTGAGAGATACATTACGGTATATGGGGCAGGCCACACTAGAGTAAAAACGTCCGTGAACGCGTTGGTCAGTTTCGCTGGTTTTACCAGTGAGACTGACAAACAGATTTGCACGTGTATTCTCCACTAACATTCCATGGGCGTTGCACGTAAAACTAGTCGAGGGGCATTGCGGCTTATGGGAGTGAACACACTCATCCTATCTCGCTGAATTTTTTCCACGCACGTTTTAGTTTTAACCTCTGTTGTAGGGATAGTTTTTGGTAATATTATGGCGTTCAACTATATACAGAAAGTGCAATTATTGTTTAATCAATGTGATATTGTTTGATTTGACAGCATTTTAAAGAAGTCAAACTTACTTTATTTATAATGTACTAGCTGTTGTACCCGTGCTTTGCAACGGGAAGAGGACACAAAATAGAAAGTGTTAATCTTTATATCTGTTGCATATAATAGTTACACATCCGCCAACGCTTTTAGAAACAAAATTCAACTTTTATGGCCTTAATAGAAACGTTTAAGTTATGCATTTTAAATCTGGTAAGTAGTGGATACCACCATTTTGATTTTGATTGATTTTAAATCTTGTGTAGGCTGATATGAGACAAACTGACCAAATCTTCGAATAAAACTTTGACATAGATTATTTACCTTAATCTCCCTTAATAACATATCTTTTAATTTATCATTGTCATTTTAAATTTTTAATTTTGAAATTGCAAAAATACTAATTATTAATTTTAAATGGACATTTTTATAAATCTCACTCTTCTTTATCTTTATATTATAGCTATTTACCTTACAAGTGTAGTAAGAGCGTTTTTACATCACGCAGGTGAATGTTGTGCAACGAGCGGAAGCGAGTTGCATAATTTACCGAAGTGATTTAAACACGCTCTTGCGTAACGTGTAACGTACAAGATTTTACCTGACCCGACAATATACAGGAGGTTACGAACAATATTTTTCATTATCCATTTCACTCATCTTCTAACAGTAACGTTCATTTACAAACAAAAACTAGGTTAGGAAAATTCTTCAAAACATAACAATAAAATTCAATCGCACAGCTGATTTCTAGCTTTGAACGTCGTTGGCTCCATAGAGGTATATTTTTTAAGTTAAGCACTCAATGTTATTTAAATGGGCTTCATTACATATCACTCGAGAAGTAACGAAGTTATAAACACCACGCTTGGGATAGGGAAGTTTAACATGGCGGGTTAGGTAAAATCACAAATCCTTCCATCTTCAGTTATTTTCTTCACTCACAATAAATCATTGGCAAAACTAAGTCAGCTGTTATAAACATTAGAAATATTGTTGTGCCTTATCAATACAGTCTTTTAAAATATAAAGAAACTATATCCATACCATAAAAAAATTTAAACAAATAATTTAGCATTAAAGACAGCAGACAAAACTAATATGAATAGCCTATCAAAGCATCGAGGACTAAAAAATGTAATAGCAAATACGGTATATATTTCATTGCATCTCTGATTCTACTCTACATAAATATCAACAACTTAATATACAAACCAGTTCTTTTAATCAGTTCCATCGTCCATTGCCTTTACATTTTCACACTTACCATTAAGTTAACATAGTAACAGATATTTAATTGATTTTAGAAACAAAAGAACACTAATTAAATATACTGCTTAGTTTTATGATATTTTCCTTGGTTTAATTCAATCAGTGGTATGGCAAAACACAAATAATAAATGTATCAAATAAAGTAAATGTGAACTAAAGGCTATGTAAAGATAAAATAAGAGTATTTTGTATTAGCATTTGATAATTAAATATAGTTACACATATACAACAGATTTTAGAAAACAAAAATCAACGACGTACAATTTAGTTATTGATGATATTCTTTAGTTTAATTTAAGCATAGGTTTAGCATAGGTACACAATAACTTAATTTACCTAAATATAAATATAAAAAACAATGTGATGTGCAAGTTATGTTAAGTTAATCTAACACATGTTAAGAAGTTAGAATTTATTTAAAGTAACCTCCAAATTCATACAAAACATCTATAGTATACATTGAAATTTTCATACTGTATCCATGAAAACATATCAATAACATTATTTTCATAACTTAGACGCTTTAAAAAATCCAAAGCAAAGCCGGAGTTGTTACAGAAACGGTTATTTTTTTTAAATCATTGACATAGTTTTAGAATAAATAATCTATGATAAGAGGTTATATTAAAATAAACCTACCTCATAGTTTTAATTTCTTTGTATCAGCTGTCTGAAATTGTGAAATTTGCAGTTTAGCAGTTCTTCTTGTTTACATTTAAATATCATAGCAAATGTAAACAAACATTGTTAGTGTTCTCATCACAGCTATGGAGACCAATCAATATTTACTTTTAAAATGTTCGCCTCAGTAGTATAGTAATACCACGAACAAAACAACCTGCGCAGAAGCGAAAAGATCACGTGGTTCGCGCCGGTAGGTGTGGCGTACCATTCAAACCTGCGCGGCTCGAAACGGCCCAGGGTTCTTTTGTTTCTGGTATTACTATAGTATGTTTTCTGTGCCTCAGAACCTTTAAAGCCAAAGGGGCAAAGCCTACGGTCAGTATCGAAATGTGAATAGTCCTATAATGGTCCTTGGTATAGTAGTTATATTTTTGTAAAATTTAAGCCCAGTTGGTTCAGTAGTTTTTGCACCTATTAGTAACACACATACAGACAGACACCATTAGATTTTTATATAATAGTATAGAAGTATAGATTAATTTGTTTGTGAGATAACACATTTTTATATTTTTGCTACCTGGAAAGTAAACATCAGTCTGTTTATTTTATCACACATTTGTTATTGTGAGCATAAAACCTAATATAATTATATTGCACTAGCAGAGTATCCGTCCTTCGTACGGGGTTGGCAAATAAGTATACTCCATATTTGCGTTTGCAATGTGAGAAGACACGGTTTTAGAAAATTAGCTTCCTCAAATTTACGGTACCGGTATGCAATAGTATTACACATCTACCAAAGCCATAATGTTCTACCACTGTGAAGTGTACAATAGAGAAAGATAGATTATTAAAAATTCGCAAAATATCACAAATTATTCGTGAAATTAAAAACATAAAAATAACTGTAAACAATCCTACTTTGGCAGTTCTCACATTGCGTATCACAGTTTTTTGTTGCTGCTTAGTTCAAATTAGCTGTTTTCATAGGGCATATCCAAAGTGCGCCACTCCACATGTCATTAGTAAGAGGGTCATAAAATGTCACCTAATCCCACTCCACTAGTGCGCCATCTCCAGTCAGGCGTGATTATTGTGTAATCAGACAAACATAATGGGCTTACTGGGCTCTGTATGTTTTAAAAGAATACTACAATAATACTAAAAGAAGTCGCTGCAATCAACACGGTGATTGTACGTAGTAGCCGGTTGTTGTAGGCCCTGTTTCATAAAGATACTAGTCTAGTAATTACTAGTCTAGTAAATACTAGTCCCGTATTTACCTGTCCTACTAATTTGTGTTTCATAAACGTTTTTATACCGCTAGTAAATACTAGTGTATTTTACTAGTCACGTGACCAAAAATACTAGTCACGTGACCAACTTTACAAGTGAACTGTCAACACTAATTTCTAACCTCAATCACGGGTTTTCTGGCGCTTTATAAAGCGGTTAGTAGTTTAGTTAGCGGTGGCGATTTCACCGATCGTTATGAAATTTGGTGTGTAAATTCTGTAGGTAGGCCCTATGCGAATCGGACGTAAACTATTTCCCGTTTCGAAATTCTTAAAAGGGCTCTGGAGTTTCCCATGTTAACCTTATGAGAAATGGAATTAATGAATCTTAACAGCTGTTTCAATTAAACAAGTTGGTTCTGTTCTATGATGTTCAATAGCATTAAAGTTACAAGGATTACCAACAGGGTGCAGCACTATTATTTCTTTTACATTTATGACAACAGCTAATTTGCAACCAAAAGGTGAGTGAGCGTAGCGAACGAACTTCAACCTGGAGGCGAGTTAGCGTAGCGAACGAGCTAACCTGAAGGCAAGTGAGCGCAGCGAACGAGCTCCAACCTAAAGGTGAGTGAGCGTAGCGAACGAGCTCCAACCCAAAGGTGAGTGAGCGTAGCGAACGAACTTCAACCAGGACGTGATTGAGCGATGCGAACGAGATCATCTTGAAAATTAAACGTAACGGTACTTTCTTTCCATCGGTCTGTCTTAGGGGAAACCTATAACTTAGGCGATACGAAGTTCGCCGGGTCAGCTAGTAGACACATAAGTAAAACAATCACATATTATTTATCAAAACGCTATTATTTATGTTCATCAATGAGCCCGCCGACGCGCCGGCGCGGCGCGGCGTCGCGTCGCTGCAATCAACACGGTGAGTGTACGTAGTAGCACAGAAAACATACTACTATACCTTATAGTAGTATGTTTTTTGTGGTAGTAGCCGGTTGTAGGCCTAGTTGCGGCGCTCAACAGTTGGGTGGAAATTCATCTGTTGCTGCCGCATTCGCCGTGATTTGTAAAGTTTTTGTTTTATTCTGACATATAAAATTAAGCTTGCTATGAGTAGGCTAAAGAAAAGAAGGCTCAAATTTTGAATGTATCGTCTAAGAACATTTTGTTAGGAACGTTTTCAAGTACCCTAACCTATGTTTTCAAATATTCGAATTGATAAGAATATTTGGGTTAAAAACCATTCTGTGATATTCTAATTTTGAGTCTACAAACCATGAATAATAAGCCTAAACGTTTATTGATGTAACAAATAATTGCAACGCCGTTACAAGCAATGGAGAAGTAGGTTTTAACCTACTAGGGCCTACCTACAGAATTTACACACCAAATTTCATAACGATCGGTGAAATCGTTCCGGAGGAGTTTGCAGACAAACACTGTGACACGAGAATTTTATATATTAGATATAGTTATTAATTAAAAGAAAACACTGCGCGTTTCTACAACTATTTACTTTTTGTATCAAATGAAAACAAAATTTAAACCCTATGAGAATAACATGGGGAGATTTTAAGCCACATTTAAAAATCGTGCTTACTCTCTATACATTTCGCTGTCGGAGGCGTGACGATGTTCAAAGTGATGCGCCTCCTATCACTTACATGTTTGTCTAGTTTCTAATAAAAATATTTATAGCATGAAATTTATGTATTAAAATTCTACATGAACTACTGTTTAATACAATATAAATATAATTTAATTTGTGCCAGTGTGTAATTATTAATTATGGAAAATATAAAAAGGTTACTTTGAGTAAACATGAAAAAGTGAGTAAGCGAGGATTTTTTTTTATTTTTCAATCAGAGAAAAACTTTCAGTGGAAGAAGTATAGATGATTAGATGTTCCTCAAATTTTGTTTCAAAAATTTTTTCATAAGACTTTTAGTTTGTCATCGCTGGGGATCAGAAGTGTGCCTATGGGTTAGGATCCCAAGTAGCAACAATATCTTGTTAAAAACATTTTTTACGAAAAAAACCTTTTAAAAAGAAATTTTTAGAGGAAAATGTGTTTTTAATGTTTTAAACAATAGTTTGACATAATTTTAAAAACATTTATGTTTTTTAAGAAAAAAATGTTTTAAAAATATTTTCTTCATCACTTATATCCTTTTAAAAATTTTTAGATTAAATTACGATTGAAATCATTTTAAAAACTTAAAAAAACATTTCAAAATATTTTTTAAAATAATTTTAAAAATGATTTTAAAATTATTTAATAAATGTTTTTTAAATAATTTTTGAACTAATTTAAAACATTTTATTTTTTTTTACTTAAAAGGGTTTAAACAAAATTTTAAATATATTTTTAACCAATTTTTTTTAAATATTCCAAATTTACAAAAAACTTTTTGATTTCCAGAAAATTGGATTTGCATGTGTAGTATTCTTTTAGGAGGAATCGTAACTAAAGTAACTACCTAATTAACTATCAGTAAAACAGTGTAGGCCCTATTTATTATTATATTTATTTATTAATTATATTTAAATATTATAAATGTTAAAGGTCTGCACTGTTGTAATTATTAGTTACTTTTGTTACGATTCCTCCTAAAAGTATACAGTACAAAAACATGCAAATAATCCAATTTTCTGGCAATCAAACATTTTAATACATAATAATATGGCAATGCAATTATGAGCCATCAGCTGATGTACTTCGTTATAAATATCAAATAAGAATCCCTCAATTAATTAATTTGACAGATCAAAGAGCCAATATGGTGTGGCATTGTTGTTGAATATGTTCCAAATCCCCAAAAGGCACTCAAGGGATCAAGAGCTTCCCGTACTGACTACACATTGGAGATACAATTGTTATTCAATATTAAAAGTAACAGAAATGCCATTGCTTGTAAATTTAAGGTCAGCTTGAACTAATAATGTAAGAAATGGCTAAAAACATTTGTCTCATTTAATATAGCCTAGTACAAGGATTTGTAGATATGAAATAAGCATGGCGTTGACTCTGGCTGGCTAGCGAGCAATCCCAGCATTCCCAGCACCCATCATCCAGAACCAAGAAAAGAAATGAACAAAATGGTGGTAGATGTTTGTTTACGTTTGAGTTAGACCAAATCATTAACTTAATTCTTTAAGTTTAATCATCTTTAAATCGTTTTGTGTCGTGGATGATCAGACTACTCAATTAAATGTTGTAGCCTAATTAGTTATTTAATAGTTTTATACCCTACTTCATATACTGGTGGTTGCTTCCGTTTGTTTATTGAAGTATCCTTGATAGAGGTAAGTAATGATGTTTAAGTAAGTTTTGATAATCTTTAAACGACTGTGCCTTATTAGTGAGATAGTAGCCTACATTGTTAGTTATTTAATATGTAACTTATTGCGAAATGACAAAAAATAACTAAATCACCTAATTTAAGGTAGGCCTAGTCCCATCCCAAATGTCTATTTTCTGTTTAAGTCCATCACTAAGGTTGCTTAATTTAACCACTTAAGTTAGACTTATTCACCTCTATAGGCTAGTCTACCTGTGATAAAAGGAGTTCTTTATGCAACACACAATATTATAGGTTACTTAGGTTAAGATTAACCTGTTACTGTAACTTATTTGACTTATGTCTAGGCCTTGCAAAACAAACCTAGGTACTGCAGTCTTTTAGCCTCACAAAAATAGTCCTGGTACCTAAGTCACAAACACCATGCACTAGCAATTGTAATAAAAAAAGCAGCACCAAGTAACTTAGCACACCATGCAGTAAAATAATACCGGCTGCACTTTACTTTACGTCCTACACTCATTCGAATGAAACAACCGAATGAACATATCGGTTTATCGAGCGTTTCATTCGATATATCGTTTGGTTAGTTAGGTTAGGTTAACCTTACCTAAATAACCAAATGATATATCGAACAATCAATATATCGATCGATATTTTCATTCGAATGAGTGTAGGACGTAAAGTAAAGTGCAGCCATAATACCTTTATGCAGAACAGTGAAATAAAACCAGTAGGTCTAGCCTATTATTTCAAAGATTTTAAGATAGGCTACTTATGTTAGGGGGTACACTTCCATAACTGTTGGAACAAACAACCAATGAAAATATCGATTGATATAGGTATATCGATTGTTCGATATAGGTAAGGTAGCCTATCGTTTGGTTAGTTGGGTAAGGTTGGGTACACTTCCATATCTGTTGGCACAAACAACCGAATGAGTAACTTAATGTTGATTATTTGATTGTTTAATTCGATATCGTTGGGTTGGTTAAAGGTTAACCTTACCTAACTAACCAAACGATAAGTTATATCAAATAATCGATATTTTCATTCGGTTGTTTGTGCCAACAGATATGGAAGTGTACCCGTAAGGTTAACCTAACCTAACTAACCAAACGATATTGGTATTGAATTAACTTAAACAATCAAATAATCAATAACTTATTACCGGTACTAAAAATTTTAGTTAGGCCTACAACAAATTAAATTCATTAGTTGTAGGGCCTACACAAGCAAAAACATCTAACTTATCTCTAGAAGTTAGGTAGGCTAGCTTCATAAATCTTAACTACCGTAGCCCTAACTCATTGTGATTAACATTTTAAAACGACTCAGTTCGTCGTGCTAAAGGGATCAGGATACTTAAACAAATATTTTGTTAATGCCATATAAGTTAGGCTATGTTATGAAAGGTATTAAATGGAATGAAGTAAACTGGATTTTTAAATTCAGCCCTCATTGCTTGTTCTTTTAGAGATAATATTTCAAATCTTGGTAGTAAAATACAAATGTCTGCAGCCTGACAATCACTTTTTCACAATATCGCCTAAATTGACAGTAGGGGAAAAACAATGTGAAGGAGAGTAAGAATAAGTAAGTTGTGAGGAATTTGTTGTCTGTCCGGTGCAGAAACAGAATAAATTTGTATTCATTGATAATACACTGTCACTGTCATTCTGTCCATGGTTGTAAGTTAGGCCTACTTACTTAAGCAGACGACACTTTGTTTATTTATTTTTTTAATTAAAACTAAGTTAAAGGCCTTTCAATATGTTGTTATTAAATAATAACACCAATACACCTACAATGTGGTACTTCTGCTAACCTAACAAATTAATTGCTCCATAAATAATTAATTACATACACATGACTAAGATATACTTAGTAGCTTATTTCTACCAGAGGGGGATAGGCCTATTATTTATTTTTGCTTAAACTTTGAATAGGTTAAAAAAAAGTAATAGTATAACTAAGGATGTAATTAATTATTGAATTGCTACATCAGACTGAGAGTAGAGAACGACGTCACCTAGCTATTGGAGCCACCTGCTAGCTGCAAAATGTAGTGTGATAATAGGCCGGGTTCTATTTTTGCGCGACGTTACATTAATTTACAGGCAAATGAAAATTTGCTTAGTCTGCAGGTTTGCTGCGGCAAGGGTATTTTTCTGCTGCGATATTGTGGGAAAATAATTGTCAGGCTGCGCTTGTGTGGTAATATAGCCTACTCCCTGTAGTCTAAGTAATACATAGCCTAAACTTTTTTTTTAGGTATGGTATAGCTACCATCCATGGCATATCGTAAACCATTCCACACACTAACACGGGAAGGAAAGCGAAAGCGTTTGAAACTTAGTAGGCTAAATGAAGATGATTTGTCCAGTGAATCATCCAGTTCTGCCAATATCAACCCCATACCTTTTGTTGATGTTCATGAATCAGTGTCTAGAACACCTATGCCTACTTCTTCCAGTGAGAATTTTGAAGATGAAAGTGACAGTGATGGCGACAAAACATCTATAAGTGAACCAGTGTCTTCAGATGATAGTTTAGATGCTCAATTTATTTTCTCTGATAGTAGTTTTGACTGTGGTAGAGGCTCCGATAGTGATGAAGATTCCTCTGATGATGGAAATCAAGATCCCCCCCCAGACAGCCAAACTGTCCTGCCTCTACAGAATTTCCTTAAGGAATGGGCCATTGAGAAAAATATTACACAATCAGCTTTATCTTCATTGTGTGTAGGGTTAAAAAGTCATATCCCTGACCTAAAAGAATTGCCATCAGATGGGAGGACAATTTTAAAAACACCTACAAAATTAAATATAAAGGATGTTCCCCCAGGACAATATATTCACATAGGCTTGAAAAAACATCTCGACACTGTAATAAACAACCTAGAAGGTTTAGGTTTGGATGTTGAAAAACTAGGCCTTCTTTTTAATGTTGATGGGTTACCATTATTTAAAAGCAAATCTTTTGAAGTGTACCCTATTCTATTTTCTATTCCAGCTCTTTCAGTGTTGAAAGGTAAAGTGTTTCCAATAGGCCTTTACTATGGTCCTAAAAAACCGGATTGCTTGGACGTCTTCTTACAAGATTTTTTAGATGAGTTGAATAATATTGCAGAAACAGGACTGACTACCACTAATGGAAAACATGTTCATGTGTTTGCCTTAGGATTTTGCTGTGACATCCCTGCCAAAAGCTTTATGCTTGGAACAACCTCCCATTGTGGCTATAATTCATGTACAAGGTGTAAAGTTCATGGGATAACTTTGGAGCATAAGAGAGTGTTTTTAGAGATGGACGAAGATCAACGTACCCATGAAGAATTTATAAACCGAGTAGACAAAAGCTACCAAATTAGATCCACTCCGTTGACAAAAATTCCTGGGATGAACTTAGTTAAGTCTTTTGTAATTGATTACATGCATCTGGTTTGCTTAGGGGTTATGCGCACCCTTCTTTTCCTATGGACTAAAGGGCCGTTGCATAATAGGATGTCTCCCTCTCAACGGCGTATAGTCTCCAATTATCTCTTGACATTTGCTATTTGCACTCCATCAGATTTTGCAAGGAAACCACGTGACCTCAATGATTTAAAATCGTGGAAAGCAACAGAGCTTCGAACTTTTCTCCTATACTTGGGCCCTGTGGCCCTTAAAAACGTACTGTCTACCGAGAAATATCAGCATTTTTTGTATTTACATGTTGCTTTTACAATATTGTTGTGTCCAAAGACTTCTGCGATGCTGGATCTAAGAGCGTATGCAAAACAATTATTGGTGCATTTTGTAACTACAACAAGACGATTATATGGCGATGAATACATTACTCAAAATTTCCATTACCTTATACATATTGTTGACGACGTAGATTATTTCTCCACTTATATTCCGAATTTCACACTCCATTCCGTCTCAGCTTTCCAGTTTGAAAATTATTTACAGTTCATAAAAAAAAGAGTAAGAAGTACCTCCAAACCTCTCCAACAAATAGCCAAGAGATTAGCAGAGACCTTTTCATTGAACAAATTTCAAATTTCAGTACAAAACCCTCTGAAGCTAAACAAACAACATAATAATGGGCCTCTTCTTGCATTTTGCACAGACCCACAACACAGAGTGTTAAGTTTGAGTTCCTATGAAATTACAATAACTCCACCAAATAACTGTTGTATGCTAGAAAGCAAAGAAGTAGTGGAGGTAGAAAATTTTGCTTTTTCGACAGAGTTAAATACCAATGTTGTAATTGGTAGAAAGTTTTTAGCCAAACACGACTTCTATAAAATCTGTAGCCAACCAGAATATCCAAGCTCTAATTTGAACATATATCAAGTTAAAAAACTCAGTCATTTAAAGGCTTGGCCAGTGAGCAAAATCAGCTGTAAATGTTTCAAGATCATGTTTGATGAGAAGCTTGTTGTATTTCCATTACTTCATTGTGAAGAGTAGGTAAGGATACTAGTTAATCAACGTTAGACAATAATTCACCACAATTCTTAGGAGATAATTTTTTTTTCAAAAGGTTTAAAAGCATGTGATTATAAATTTAGGCGCTCTGTAAGATTATTATTTTAAAATAGGCCCTCTGTTTTCCAGGCAAAAATGTGGACTGTTATATATAAACTTATTGAACATGAGTACGATGTCGTTCCCAACTCATGGTTGGTTAGCACAAATGTATGCAAATATCCTGATAAAGGAGTGCAAACCGTTGCCAAATGGGTGAAAGAACAGAGACCCAGTGAGGAAACGTGGGATGATTTGAACATAGAAATAAAAAAAAGGGACATTGGTAAGTTTACAGTATTTTATATAAACTAAATTAGGGAAATGAGACCTAAGTTATTCCAAGAAAAGATTTTTAAAATTTCAATTTTTCCTCAGTTTGTTTATAACTCTCAAAAAACATATGAAATTATTATTTAAACGCTAAAAATATTCCTTTTGTTTAGTAGAAGAATGAAAGTAAAAAAGGTATATAAGTTAGTGGCATTAGTGTAGTTTCATTTCCAAAAACTGTAGGCCTACTCATTTCTGTGTTGTAGATATGTTTTTAAATGTGCTTTCTTCTTTTCTTTTTTTTCACTCGTAGCATTTTCTATTGTTGCTTAAATAGTTTTTAGATTATATTTAATATGTTTTATAATTTCATAGCAGATTTTAAACAATGCTTGATTCTATAAGACCATGTTCATCTATGTAATATTCATTGAACACATTACATTTTCAGGGTGGAAATACTCATTTACTTTTGGATACTGGAAATAGTTGCAATTATAGGTCATGTTATCTTTTTATAATCTTGCAATGTTAATTTTCCTTTTCCACATTTGTTCACTATAGAACTATGTCTTTGAATAAAGCATTATTTTAAAACCATTGGTGTTACAATTGAAATGCTATCTTAAACAATAACCTACATCAATATTTTATTTGAATAACATATGCTATTCATGATTCCTTTGAACTAAGTTGGTTTTACAATTTTGTTATTTTTAATTTCATGATTTTTTTTAGATAACTATGACAGAGCTCTGGGTAATGCTATAAGGTTAAGCAAGGGTAAAAGTACAAAAACAGAATCTGAAAACGAGTTGAGGGGAAAGGGACTTAGACAGCCGAAAAGAAGGAAAATTGAATCGTCTGACTCTTCAGATGATTCAGAGGATTCTGAGCCGTTACCACAAACCAAGTTTAGAAAAGAACATGTAGTCCAAAAAAAAAAAAACCTAGCCCTCCACCAGTCGCAGTGCCGCCTCCTCCACCAACACATAGCAGCATGAAACCAGTTCATTTGCCCGGTACTTCTACATCGTCTTCTTGGAATAGGCCTACCAGTACTCCTTCTGCGTCTTCTTGCAAAATAAAAACCAAACATATTTGTTTTTGCCCGGAAAACAAGGAAGTCACATTGGAGAGTATGGCCAAAAAGTTTTGCTATCTGTCTAGTAAGTATCTAACTATTTATTAACATCAAACATTATATCATGCATTCACATAATGATAAACATAGAAGTATATTTCATAACAAGAGTAGAAAGTGAGTCATTTACATATTTGAGACCATATCTTTAAAGTGTGATATTTTTCAAGCACGATTGGTCGACAATATTTAATGACCCATTGTTACTTTTTTTACGTTAATTTTTGTTACACTTATATTTTTATGTTCTTTATTTTATTTTTTATAGCCTATATCGGTTAATTTTTTATTTTCTTTTAGGCTACCCTACTTTTAGATTTATATTCATTTAAAATCACATTTAGTTGGGTTTTAGGTCTATCCAAGGCTTTTTGGTATCTATATGTTACAAGTTAGCCTTCCAAGTGTCCATAGTAAAGGTCATAAAGTTAGCCCAGTTATTGCGCAATCGCAGGGGTTTATAAACACGTTCGCTGCGGCCTAATGCTATATCAGTAGTGTGCTTGCCTGCCAAATATTGCGTCTGTCTGAGCCCAACACTCGGCCAGCGACAATGTGAATTGTTGCCAGGCTGTAGCTTAGAATACGAGCTTTATTTTGGTGTAGGTTGGTACTAAACATTCCCGTAAAATCCCGTCTGGCAATGCTTTTGTCTTGTTTTTTTCTTTTGGGTGTTTCTGTGAACTGTGTCCACTTTTGGGGTAACTCAGAACAACCACCACTGCTCTTTTTTGATTCGTCCTACTGAGATATATTAATGCCAATAGCAACCGCTGATTCAGTAGCGTGCCGGGGCTAAGCCCAGGCCTCGCTGCAGTTTAGGAGTGCCTGTAAAGGTTTTCAGCAGCCAACGTGTTAAATTAAAATGTAACTTTTAAAAAAATGGAAAACATTCTAAAGTATGCTATACTGTTTTATATAACATTTTGTTTGGTGGCCTCAATATAATAAAACATTACAAAAAACGTTATCAAAAATGTGTGTGGGATTAACATTTCTTAAAAATGATGAAAAACCTAAAATAAATAGGTTTGCGCTCAATAAAATTGTATAAATTAAAGGCCTATAAATATTTTTAAATAGCCACTTTCTTTGAAATGTTATGAGGATTCCAAAAATATAAACATAAGGACGTAGGCTAAATTTGCAAATGAATAAATTGCGGGTGAAAAACACATTTTGCATTAGAGCTAAGAATGAATAGCCTAACCATAGCTAGGAATTTAAAGAATAATTTACATCAATATCACTACCTACTTCTCCAGGATCATCAACAAATTATTTAATTTTTTTTTTAAATGCACCACACTGTTAATTATTACTAAAACCAACAATAAACGTAATAAAACACATCAGCCAACAATGTGAGGTTAACCAAGTTGTTTAGAAAAATATGCACGTCATCTTTCAGCTACTGTACAATATGTTTGGCACTAAAAATGAAAATCGTTGGGAAATAGACATCGGTGTTTATGCGTCGCTATTGTGACGCTTAACCCTCAAAGGCTTAAGAGGTGTGTAATTTACATTGGTATTGGTAATAATTTTCTCTTTATTTCAGGAAGTGTAACATTGCTGAAAAATGCATTCCAAGCACATAGCGAGGAAGTAAGTAGCCTACTCTTGGCTAAAACAAAAACCCCGTTGAAAGATGCTGGCAATGAAAAAAATGAGGAAGAAATGGGCCAAGATGTTACCGAAATTTTGACAAGATTTCCAATCCGTGATCTAGACGAACTTCAAAAATTTAACGATGACATCCACTTATCAACTGACTACAAAAAAAATGTGGTGAGTGTCAATAGCTTATGGAAAATGCAGATTTCATGAAAATTTGTTTTGGCTTAGAATGTTAGCCCGCAAACTTTTTAATACGCCGGCACTTGCTGCAGTCTAGTGCTGTATGGGCGTGTGCATAAACTGTCGTTCCCCTTCAGTTATCCTACGAGTTACACAAGGCACATTCACGATGATGTTTAAAGGTTCTAAAACAGCACTTTTTTAGTTCAGACCCAGAATACTCAAGGAAGAGGTAATTTTACTGCAGTTAGTCTAACACTTTTGTTAATTTCATTTCCAGGTTTCAGCACTCTTACACTTGGGTAAAAAGTCAAGCCCATCAAGATTTATCACATCAGCCCTCAGAAAAATTGTTGGGGCTGAAATTCTCGGCAGCGGCAGATTGAGTTGGAAGGGCCATCAAAGAGGCGGTGTACGCAAGGAGAGCTTTTCTGGCTCACCTTTGTGTGAAGCGTTGATGAGTAAGTTGTTAAAACTTAAACTGGCTGTCAAAGCTTCTAGCACTGTTATAGGTCAAAACATGTAGAAAAATTGCTGTTGTTTTGAGGCTAGCATTATGTCGGACTTGTGCTTATACTGTACAGTATACCAAGTAAAGTGCTGTACTAAGTAATCAGATGTAAGTGTCTTCAGAAGTTGTTTTGCCAATAAATCATGGGCTTAGCACTATAAATTATCTTTACAACACTGTTAGCCTACATATTTCTTAAATGGTACTACATATTAAACTGATGCCTGTTTTATGGGGTGGACATTATACTTCTTAAAATGTTGACTTAAAATTTTTTTTTTTACATTGAATATTAGCAGAAGTATTAAAGATGCAGTAGTAGACTAAGCTTTTCTTATATTATACTTTTTTAATATTTTTCAATGATTGTTTAGATGCAACCAGAAATATTTGGAAAGGGTTGAACGAAACTGTAATGGAGAAAACCATCAGTGGGTTTTTGTCACAAACAAAAACAAAATTAAAAAATGTCAGGTGAGTCTTTTTATATTTTCCAGTTTTTTTTTACAGGGTAAACTGCAATTCCTAGCAGACACTTAATTATTTTTTCTAATATATAGGTTATTTAATTATATGACCATTTCTTTAATACCTACAGCTAATATGAGGGGTTCTTATGTGTCTTTGCTAAAGCTTCTCTCATGTGTCTTTGCTAAAGCTGTGCTCCGGAACTGAGTCAGCCAAGGTGATAACGATTGATTTAATACAATCACATCCGTCAGGAGACGAAACGTTCAGAGATGCAACTTTCTAAGTGTAGAAACATACAGACAGCGTAGCCGAGCGCAGGGTAGTCCAATACACACATAGAGCTCAGCGTAGTGTAGCGCATTAAAGGTTTTATACGGTCTTAATAAAGAACATCAGTATAGAGGATGGCTCTGTCGAAGGCGGCTCGTATTAGTCTTGTTGAAAATGCCTTAAGGTGACAGTTTTTGATCAGTAGGAGAAGTGTCGGGGTGCATGAAGTGTTTAAATGCAGGGACAAAATGTAGTGAATATCATCCCTTATTTCCAACCCTTAGGAAACACCAGTCTCGGTTTATGGATTTAACAAGAATGTTGACTATAACGTTCAATTACATATTTAGTTTGGTGAAGGATGATTGGTAGAAGCTGTTAACTAATTGGAGGAGGCCAATTGGTGCAGAAAATAAACTGGTATTAACTATAAGCGTGTCTGCAGTTGAATGTGCTCCAAAACGCTCTGATAAGGACAAAATAGTTTGTTCCTTGGTCGTATGCTGCGCTGCGCTGTGCTACGCTAAACCGAAATACGCTACTAGTTCGTCATATATCATTTCAATGCATGTTTTTGATTTAAAACATGTGCTGCGCTAAGCTACGTTACGCTGCATGTATCTTTTTACACTAAGGAATAGAAGAATATTAAACCTAATCTATGCAGCTTTTTTGTACGTTTTTGCTCTTGCTACTTGAACATAGCTGGCTCAGCTGAGCTATGACGTCTCTGGGTAAATCTTTGTTGACCCTTGCCTTAGGACGACGTTCCTGGTTCATGCAGTTGAAGCTCACCCCCCAACCTCTGTTGCTCTAATTGCCACATGCTTCAGTAGGCTATTTCACTACTGTTAACCCGATTAGGGAGTTATTTCATATAAATTAAATGTCCATGAAATTACTTTTTAGGTGTTCCAAAAAACTGATGCCTGGTGTTATTATATAGAGGGTTAGGAATATAACTATTTCATTTATTTTATGTAACTTAATTTTTAATTTTCAGCCTTGAAATTAATCCCGCTGCCTAACAACCGGCTGGATATGGGACAAAACAACATTCGGATGGAATAGTTGTTGTTTACATCAAGTTAAGAGCTATAAATACAAGTTCATAGTCAACTGTACTTGTATGTAATTTGTAGGATTTTTATTTAATACCGGTACTACATGTCTCATTCCTGTATACATTTTATTAATGTAGAATTGTTCGGATAAAAAGCTACTATTAAAATAATAAATCTTAAAGTAAACATAGTTTACTAAATCAGCCACCTGAATAGATTTTATTATTTTTTAAACACTACATGTTTTGACCTTTAGGCCATTTACAGTAACATATTTAATATCACTTTTAAACACAATAAATTGATTAATTAAACATCAGGTGATAATCTTGATATATGATTTGTCTGTTCTTAATATTTGTGGAAAACGTAATCTTTGGTTTTTAAAATTGTGTCATATATATTATGATTAATTATGTTTTTTTATGTTCTCTTTGCCTTAACGATTGTCTTTCAACTTGTTTAATTTTAAGATTTTGTCAAGGGATTTTGTTTTTTTACATGCATGTTATATTTGTATGTTATGTATGTTTATATTTGCTGTAGGATCTTTCTTGTAGCTGGAGTATATATATATATTATATTATTAATATTAAAACATAATCAAACCATTTTGTACTTTTTAAAATATTCTGTAAATATTATATTTTTCAAATAAGAAACATTTTACCTACCGACACTGTTATTAAAGAGAGTATTTTAAGATGCATTTCATGCAACCCAGGTTCTTTACTGTTATTTTTACATAACAGCACAGGCAAATTTTGATGTACATGCTAAATTAAATTTTGTTAACAAATTAACCACGTGATTTTGTTGATATATTTTCTTTTTTTCATTATATTTGTGGTAGAAGTAAATTTTGTTATACCTATATATAAATAATTACGTTTTTGTCTTAACTTTGGTGTTAAATATTCTTAAATTTTAAAATTTTGTAATATGTATGATTTTGATTTTTTACTTGCATTGTATTAATTATGTTTGTAAGATCTTTCTTGTAGCTGGAGTGTATAAATTTTATTATTGATATTAAACATAATCAAACCGTTTGTTACTTTTTTAAGTATCCTGTTACAATTATATTCTTCAAAAATAAGAAACGTTTTACCTACCGACACTGTTACTAAAGAGAGTATTTTAAGATGCATTTTGTTTATGCAACCCAAGTTCTTTACTGATATTTTTACATAACAACACAGGCTAATTTTGATGTATAAATAATATTTCACTACAAGATGACTATATCAACGGCGATTAATTTCTTTACAAAATGTAGGTATTGAATTTTCTAAGGCCTACTAAATCTTTGAAATTTTTATTAAAAAAACCGTTTTAAAATATATTAAAAGTATATTTTTTTAGCAAATTTAATGTCTCAAATCTATTATTTTAATAAAATTGACTGTTTTGTGACTTTTTAAAATGATTTTATTACATTTAAACTAGTTTTGAAAACATTTAAAATTATCAAAAAAAATCATTTTAAAACTACTTTGAAAATAATTTTTGAAACGTTTTTAAAATGTTATAAATTGTATTTTGATACTTTTAAAATGATTTTTTAAACTTTCAAAATGATTTTAAAAATCATTTTAAAAATTATTTTAAACATTTAAAATGATTTTTAAAAAGTTTTTAAAACGTTTTCATTTGTCAACTAAAAGTATTTTTAAATTATTTTGAAAGGTATTTAAAAGATTTCAAAAACTTTAAAAAAACATTTAGTTACTTATAATTTGCTACTGGGGGAGCGCACCCGAGTTCGCGTGCCGAGAGCCGGGTCTTTAAAAAAGTGGCCAAAAAAATGAGCCATTTTCCAGGCTTGTTTTTTCAGTATTGAAAAAGTAGAAAATTTATATAGAGGTGTATAGGTCGAGAGCTGGGTCTTTAAAAAAGTGGCCAAAAAAATGAGCCACTCATTTTTCTCATTTTTCCCCTATAAAAAGTGCCCTAAAAGTGCCTCTAAAACGCCGAAAGTGAGGTCATATTGCTATATTATATCTACTCTTCTTTGATATGACCCTAAACATTTTAAAGGACTTTTCATGAGTTTTATTCGTATTGAATGACTTTAAAATACTAACGAACCATGTTTGTTCGTGAATTCAACTGGCTTACTAGCTTACGTATTCTTAAGCCTGCAATTATAAATTCTATAAATAACCGTTACGATTGTTTAAAACGTTTAAACTACTGAAGTGAATAGTAGCCTACAGAAAGAAAAATCAGTTGCAGGCCTACCGCTTCGTTTAGAAAATTATCTTTCTTTTATTCTGGTAGGCGTGAAAACTCCGTAGGCCTAGGCGATCTAGGGCATAAGGCATAAGTTACATTAGTTAATTTTACCAAAGATAATAGAATCTACATTTCCTACCATAATCTACACGGTATTATAATCAATAAACTCACCACTTAAGCAAACCATTTATTCTAAATATTTTACTAGTACCGGTATGCTACAAATAAGCTGCGTAACGTTGTAGGCTACATCCAGTGTGCTGTTGGAGCTCCGGCCTGTTTACATTAAAACAACAAGCATGCTTATTCATAGTGTCTTATTCAAAAGCCTAAACAGCAACTCAATCTTTGTTTTTAGTTTACACGTGTTTGTCATACTAACTGACAAACTTCAACACGTTCCCAATAATCAGTTTTTATTATTTACTAGGAGTAAACTTTATTTCATATCAGTTAAGGTCAATTAAACGTTTTTTTATACAGCTATGTCATAATACTTTATCTATTTATTTTATATAAATTATATGTTGATATCATATATTGTCCCCAGTTCATCAATATTTTGCAATGAACAACAAAAAGATTTCGGGTGAATAGTTTAATAATTCTAATAAGTTATTCTAATCTTTCAACGCGGAAATATATGTGTAAGGCTTGGTATGCGTAAAAACTGATTCAAAATAAATTGCTAATTTAGTGGTAATTACGTGTGGAGGATAAGCCGTTGTCTGGACCGGGGACGTTGCCGCAGGGAATTGCGTGTGGAGGTTAAGCCGTCGGCTGGACCTAGGGGGGTTGCAACAGAGAATTACGTTTGAGGGTAAGCCATCGGCTGGACTGGGGGGGGGGGGGTGTTGCCGCAGCGACTCTCTCCCGCTCCACTCAGATAGAGAGAGGGGTAGTCGGCCGTGACGTCACCGTTCGGTAGGGTTTGCAGTCGGGAGTCTTTGCAGTCGGGAGTCCTTGACGCGTTCCCAAAACATGGCATATGCGCTATTGCAGGGCGTAGTTCAGAGGTAGAGTTTTCGCTTCTCATGTGATGGGTCTCTGGTTCAAATCCGCACCACTCACTATATCTTAGTTCCGTTAATTAAACTTTTACTAGAGATATACTGTTTGACAAACTATACCAAATTAATATAAAAGGAAACGCACTAAATTGGATTAAAGACTATTTCAAAGATAGGCAACAACAGGTTGAAATAATTTACCAGATAAATAAAATACAAACAAAAACTAAATCACCCACTCAACTAACTAAACGAGGAATTCCTCAAGGATCTGTACTCGGACCCCTCTACTTCTTGATATACATCAATAGCTTCCCAAATTATCTAACACCAGATAAAACTTGCATAATGTTTGCTGACGACACCACCATCATTTATCCAACATCATCTACAAACCATGCTGAAACAGAAAAAACCCTAAAACTGGCATCAGAAATATGTTCTTCACTAAACCTCAAAATCAACACATCAAAAACTGTCAACATAAACTTTACAGCATCGAATCAACCTGACCATAACCCACCTGCAAACTGCACCTCGATCACAATGGCAACAGAAACCAAATTCCTCGGTATCACCCTGGACAAAAACTTGTCCTGGCACCTACATATAGAAAACCTGGAAAAGAAATTGTCAACAACACTCTTTGCAATAAGAAGGATTTGGTCAGTGACTGATAAGAGTACAGCCAAAATAGCATATTTTGCCCTATTCGAAAGTCACTTGAGGTATGGCATCATAGCCTGGGGCTCAGCAGCAGACTACCATCTACAAAAGCTACTAATACTTCAAAAAAGAGCTGTGAGATCAATTGAACAACTGCAATATAGGGAACACTGCAAACCTTTTTTCACAACCAACCAAATCCTAACTTTACCCTCCTTGTACATCCTAGAAATAATGAAATTCCTAAAAAATGACCCCCCCAAACCAGAAACAATTGCCATAACTACAACCTCAGAAATTTACAGACAAACTACAATCTACAACCACACAGACTCACTAAAACTAGCAGAAATCAAAAAATAATAGGAACTAAAATATTTAACACACTGCCAAACAACCTGAAATCAATAGATTCAAATACTCTTTTCTTAAAAAAAACTGAAACAATACTTAATCAACAAACCTTACTATAGTCTAAATGAATATTTCGAAGACCACACACCCTACAACAATACATAACAATATCCAAAGAAGAAAGAAAAAGAAAAAACAAGAATTTTTGACGATTCCCTGGTCTCAACGACTATGGAGAAGAGGACCTAGGTAAAAGGTAAAAGGTAATTGAATAGTCAGTTAAAACTGTGTACATTTGAGAACAGCTAGTTTTTTAACACGTATAAAGACAAAATATTTTCATGCTGTTGTAAAAAATCCTCTTGTAAACAAATGTTGCGTGGCCAAATATGTTTTATTCCGTCATAGGCCTATACGATATGCATTTTAAACCCGATAATTTTACAATAAAACAGCAATTGTGACGATGTGAAAAGCGTTGAAGTCAGATTTGCGGCCGATTCGCACACTGATTATGAGTAGCCTACTGTAGAGAGTAATAGCTTTGACTATTAATATAATAATTGAGTATCCAATAGTCAATGGTAATAGTAATAGAAGTGTATAGACCTAGTCAACAATACCACTTTCCACGAATCCTAGAAAAATACACCTTCCATCGCATACCTGCCTCTTCCATAATTATTATCACCACAATTCAATTACTCATTCTATACACAGTTTCCAGTAGGTCTGAATAAAAACTACCTAAAATAAAACGATATTATCCAATAAAATTCACAGTAGGGCTACACATAATATAACTTTGGTATCCTAACATCATTAAACGTATCAATTTCGCTGAATCAATTGCTAAATAAATAAGAGTAAACTAAGAAAAGTAAAAACAATAACATATACTGTAGTTTGTTTTGAATTTGCTGTTTGGTTAAAATAACATTCATTTGAAAAAAGAACTGGTCACACGTTGAAGGAATTTAAAAATCAAACACGCTAGTAAAGCTAGTGACGTAATTATCTATGTTAATAATCCATACCGTTATCAGTTCTAATATCTGTAATAATTACCCACCTATTGTATTAACCTACATCGTAATTTCCCATATTGATTTATTAAAAGTATAATATATTTAAAGTTGAAATAAAAGTGATATTTTGCCTACATCAGCGCCCCCACACGCAACCACAACTAAAACACAATCTTTTTTTTTAATTCATAAAAGGATGGTTTGTCTAATTAATTGCAGTATCCTAAGTCAAAGATGCCGCTGTGTTCAATCTATGTAATCCATCAGTTTATCTTTGGA